CCAGAACTTTCCAGTAATATCATGTACTTACAACTTCTAGAATATTCTAGATTTATATTACTGTATAAATATCCTGTCAATTCGATGCATAGATACAATTGTCGTACAAGCATCACTGAGGTATTACTGGGATATAATTTCACTGGAACATTGTGTGCAGCAACGGACACTCTGATGTATGTATTTTTAGATTTTTGCTAAGTTTGTACTTAATGATTTGTATATTACTGTAAATAAATTATTGTTAAGTTTAAACTGTGTGATTGATCTTTGCTGGCATTTAGGGTTATTCTGACCCATAACACTGTACCCATTCTATAACTGTGTAACATCCTATGTTGGTTTAAGGGATAATAATTCTTCTGCTTTTTAACAGTTTTGATTAGCATTTTATTTTCTATCAGTTAAAATGAAGTTGATAACAATTTATGTAAAATACAATATATAACTATTCCGCCACTTTGATTTCAAAACATGTATGTTCATTGCTGAATACACTATACAATTACAAATTTCTTCATACCCTCATAATCATATGTTGAATTATATGACAACATAAAATGAACATGTTTTGCTTTATTAATTCTTTATATATTACACGACGATTAACTATTTCAGGAAATGACGTAATACATCAACTTACCAAGGGAAGAAGCTCCTCCATCTACGTATCTATCACACTGACCAATGGGACAAAGCTTTATGAATTATACAGCCAGTTCTCTGTTGCTGACGAAATCAACAAATACAGACTTTTTCTTGGGGGGCCAGCTACAGGGACACTGGGTAGGTAAAAGAAAAACTATGTACAAATGACCTACTTGATAAGGAGAGAGAGAGAGAAAGAGAGAGAGAGAGAGAGAGAGAGAGAGAGAGAGAGTTTAATTACTTGTGACAAATAGACAAATGCCAACTATTACTCTTAGAAGCAGCCCTTTTGTTAGATAATTATTCAGAAAGAGGGGAAGGGTAAAGCGTGAATATCAATATTTCGAAAATAATTTTTTATCTTGTAATTTAAAAAGTCCATTCTATATGAGCCAATCAGTTTATTGGATTTAAAAAAAAACTTGTTTTGGAAATGTAATTAATTACAGTCGATAACAATGACGTTTTGTAACTATCCCGCTTTTATGTTGAAGAAATACATACTGCAGTAGATTTAACAAAAACAATACAACAATAAAAAAGGAAGTTAAATACATTAATTGCATCTTGTGGCACAAATTTGAAGAATTCCGGTTCATGAAATTATTTTTCGAACATCCCTTCTTTATATGTATGTATATATGCTTACCAGTTTCAATATTCAATACAAAGGTTTCACATGAATGAAATGATAATTACATTTATTGTCGTCGCCCGCGTGGCGCGGTGGTTAGAGCCGCGAAGTAAGGAATCGATCTTAACGTTGCAAGTCCCCATTCCACTGTAGGACGTGCAAACTGGTCCTTCTGATGAGACCGTATAAACTGAGGTCCCGTGTCGCAGTAAGCGCTGGGACAAAAAACTTACCTCACTGCTCAATGAACCGGTATTACATGTATTATAGAACAAAATGTTTAGCTCTCAACCGTCAAGTGATGGCGTCACCGTATGAGTGAAAAATGCTCGAGAGGGACGCTAAACTACATATAATCAATCAATCAATCAATCTTTTATTTCCTTTTGTTGAGACTCATCATCATGTTCGTATACAGTCAAAAAAGAAATCAATATACGGACAACAGAGAAACTAAGAAAAATGTTAAATGAAAAAGATGTTCATCTACTATTATTACAAGCAGTATAATTTTAAAAAAAATCAAAAAAGATTTTATTGTTGAGTACTATAGATGATTTTATCTTTAACTTTTTAGTAAATAATAATGATCTAATCTGAAATAGGTGTTATAATTTTCTGTGATAATTTTACAGGTAACCGTATGTTATACACTATTTTTCCTGATCACTATGATCTGTCTGGGATGTCCTTCTCCACCCCAGACAGAGATAACGACAGAGCTAGACATAACTGTGCTGCTGGATGGAAAGGAGGCTGGTGGTTTAACGGATGTCACCTCGCCTTCCTGAACGGTCCCTGGTCACAGGTTGGTTAAAAAGTATTTCTTAAATTTGGAAAGGATAGGTTTTTATTAACCAATGCATGAAAAGAGAAATATATATTCTTAACCGTACGCAAAAAATCTTGTGCTGTAAATTGACAACCATTTGCTTTATGGGATCTGTAGAATTTTTGTCTAACTGACAAGAATATATACACCAATATAACTTAACGGTTTTTGAAGCAAACTTATCAACTTCAAACTGCTAAAAGTTTGGTTTTCGCATATGACGTTGCTCTGTGACGACCTTTAACGTTATTGACATCAAAATAAATCATATAATTCTCTGTTCTTCAATTCATTGATTTGACGTTTTAATGCAGCATTTTCTTGACACTTTATAAACAAAGTACACGCTCAAGTAACGAGAGATTTTTGTGTTTGAAACATATAAGGACGTTTCAATAAGTTCATTACACATAATAATATTATATATTTAAATTTGTTACTTTTTAATTTCATCATTATGTCAAGAATAGAGTCATTATCTTTTGTTATAAACTTATATAATTTTGCATAATATGTGTGCACACCTATGGATATAAGATAATAAGATATAAAAATTCAGTGAGGTTTTTTCATCATGAGAGTCTCCAATATATCTCGTCCAGTCTGTGCTGTGGGATTCCAAAGGTCTGGTGACTATGATTAGGTAAGATTTTCCTTGCAACAAAATTATAATAAATAGACTTAAAAATACATAATCTATTCCGTAGTTATTCTTTCTTACTTATAGGTTTAATCTTGCTCAACAAAATTGAATTACATAGTAAAACAACCTATCTTCACCCAAACTTGTTAACAATGGGCGCAGCCATTATGCTTAAGGCATACTGGGATGCAGAAATTAGGTCAAATTTACTCAGTAATCTAATGAATATCAACACGTTTTATCTCCAGATCACGTTATACTTTCAATTAAAACTATTTTCTCTGTCACATAATAAGTAAAGAAATATTCGCCCTAAGGCAATACACTTAACAAAACTTCTAAGTGTTCACTTAAATACATGTTTTCATTTAAAAAATAGTTTATAGAATGGCATGATATTTTCAAATTACTACAATAATGAGTGTTCTCAACAATTGTAGAAAGAAAAATTCAATATCACCAATGAAAACCAATGTTCCGTGACGAAGCTTAAAAACAATAAATCTGTACTTTGCGGCACTTGTTCTGTGTAATAAGCATCTTTTTGTGATCAGTATCAAATTTAAAAAACTGGTATCACTAAAAAAACATAATATATTGGCAAAATGACCATTGAAATAAAAAATAGAGCCGTTTGAATGTTGATATCTGGACCATCTTTGCACCACGTTTTACTCACTTTTACTTTAGTGCTAAATTGTACTTGATTTTACTTTTAAAAATTATCAAACAGTATCAAAACCCATTTAAACACATTTTTTTTAGGATGTGCTTATTTTTCATCACAAATTTATCACAATTTGAAACTTTTTGACAAAAATTAACCACACCGGAAGTGACCTTGATCTTCTTCTGAGGAGAAAATTTCGCATCACACAAGGTTAAAAGAGTATTAAAGTGTCCTGAAAAAAAATCTTAGAAACATGAAAACAAACCATATCAATCGTACGAAAATTATAAGAAATCGGTGCTCGGGGCAGTCTTATATCAGCTCAATCAGTCTGAATTATCCTAAAAGCGGCGCACTTACGTGCTACACACCCAAAATATTGATCAATAGGCATTTGTGTGGCGATACACTGTCAAAATTCCCGGATCTGAATCCCATTGAACATATCTGGGATTTTAAAGTAAATGTCAAAGCCCCCTCCCCCTTCCTCACAATTTCAATGGTTTGGAAAGATCTATGCATGTAGGTGTGGCAGCAGATGGGTCAATCTCCAATTCAGGGTTACATGGTATCCAACAATAAAGGTTGTCTTGTAGTAATTAGAGCGAGTAGTAGGTCATTCTCCATCGAGACTTTTTTTGTGTGAATTGTCATTTTGAGGGTACATCATTTCCTTGACAATTTGGTTAAAATTTTGACGAGATACTTACATAAAATTCATGCAACATCGAACTTAAATATGTATCATTAACCAAGAATTAAAGAAATTATATGTTGTTCGCATTTGTTCTTTAAACCTTCAAAAAATGTTAGGTAACACTTAGAAGTTTGGTTCAGTGTATATATATGTAGATACACATGCATTAATACAATATACCAACACCTGTGCACCCTGATGTAAGTTACTGTTTACCTTCTGACTTTTCAGCCTATAACACTAATTCATACAATTAGCTTTCTCGTATCAGTCACAACATGTTCCTAACATAGACATCTATCTCGTCCCTTAGAAAAAGAAACATAAACTGTAAATAAAAGAACTTCACCTTAATAAGAAAGAAGATGACAAACATGGGGAAATGGCAGATTTAATTTGGGGATTTACCTCTTCCGGTCAGTGGAGTAAAAAAATATTAACAGAGTTATCTCGCTTTTTCCAAAAATTAAAATCCACCCTTTTCTAACGCGTGCATTAAACTCTTATCAAATAAACTGATTGTTGTGTGATATGATAACAGGCTTAATAAAGTTCTAGAGAGAAATGAAAAAAAATATAGCTGGAACAATTGAAGAAAGACACCTTATATTATTTTTTTTCAAGAAGTTAGATATATCAATTAAAAAATATTATTTTTAAATTGTTGTAGGCTAAGGACAATTGAGAGAATCCATTGACAGCATGACATCACTCATATATTATTATAAAGTAATACGTTTTTAATCATATAAGGCAATAAAATTATAAATGAATGTATTCAAAGAAAAGGTTTTCGTTTGTTAAATCCTATGATACTGTTTATTTTGCATCAAACATGTTTTTCTAATCAAATTAAAACAGATGAGAAAGGTACATATTTTTAATAATGACCAGAAGACCAAGAAATATACAGGAAGTAGAAAGCAGGAATTTTTTCCTTTAGTAGATTAAGGTATTCACCATAATTTTAGAATAAAAAAAGGGGGGAAAAGATTTACACAACACATATCTTTTCCGTGTAAAAATAGAATGTAATCCATTTATGAAACAAAAAAATATAGGAAAATGATATTGTGTCTTGTTTCCTATCACATCAAGAGTGGAAGGATTTCAAGGTAAGCTTTTCGTAGTGTTGGTGAGTGATTGCTGTCTAGATTTATTAATACAGACTATGTGTATTCTACTGCGTAATCTCTAATTTGTAATATACAGATTTTAATTATATACATGTTATTGTGTGATCTCTTCATACATTGGTATAATATATTTATTTATTTTATGTAATTAAGTATAGAAACAATGAGAAATATTGAAGTATATTTTTCTTTGATTCATTTTATGTATTTTTATCAATGATTTAAAAAGAAAGCTTTAATATTTGCAGACGTACTCTTATTTATCTTTTATCTGTAAATCATGTTTTTCAAATAAAATAAAGCCATAATATTCATGTAAAATATTTACTTCATACTTGTACTTTAGAATAGAAAATTCTTGAGAATGTTTAACTAATGAATAAACATGCTCGAGTAAAATTCGCAATACAGTATTTGAGCTCAAAAGTCAATTAAATAATACACAATAGGAGACAGAGCAAAACATCCGAGGTTGGGTCAGGTGCCAAGGAGGAGCCAGTGGACCAGTCACACCGGACGTGTGCTCACTGTCATGTACGAGAAAGCATCCTAAAAATCCGTCGATAACTCAATGCGCAAATGATGACCTAATTATATTGGGCCCTTGTGGCTTTCTGTTTATTTCTGTTTTTCACGTTTAAATGAAGATCATAAGGTGCATGTATGTTATTAATATTCCATAACTTTAACATATCCAAGATATCTGGTTTGTTGCCTTTATCTTCTGAAGTATTTTTGATGATCATCGATTGATTTAAATCTAATTTTTTTAATAATAAATATATATTTAAAAAATGTTTTGTTACATTTTGTTTTTCCCACAGTTGATAACTAGTTGCAATCTCTCTTGTTTTTTAAGGAAAGGGCACTTTCTGTTCCCAGCAAGAAGAAGAATAAAAAAATTCCTCTTAAATCTACAACGGAGAGGAGAGATCGTTTCCCTTTATCTGAAATATATTTGAATCCGACCGGATAGCATCAAATTTCATATAGATTGTCCAATAGTTTTGCTACTATTAAAAATTTGATTAATAAAGACGTAGTTTTCTTCATTTGATTCACAGGTCAAAGGAACAGCTCTGATTGATCCAGTACATCAGAAAATATCTCACTGATCTTTACCCAGAATGTGTATTCTGATAAATTATCTTTTTGATTTTGTGGGATTTTCAAATTTGACAGTCAAATGAATATTTATTAATTATGAATCTAGACTTTTTGCTTGTGCCTTCAAATCAATATTTAGATACATCGGCACCGTTTTATTAAAAAAAAGCAATATTCATTTACATTTCTATATAGATTCGAGCTATCTCTTACTTTAAACTTAAAAAAAATACCAATGTGTCTGACACTTTTCTGTCATATTTGGATATTCTATTTTAGAAAAAAGATGTAAATGGTAACATAAAGCCTAAAGCAAAATGTGAAAAACGTGACTTTAACTTTTTTCTGCTTAATGGAACAAAGCTCTATAAAATATACACCAGTTCTCTGTTTGTGACAGAATCAACAAATACAGACTTTTTCTTCGTGGACCAGCTACCGGGACCCTTGGTAGGTAAACGGTAAAAGAATGAAGACTTTTTCCTGGAGGATCAGCTAGCGGGACACTGGGTAGGTACATGTAAAAAGACAAAAAAATGTGCAAATGACGATCAAAAAACAGGAGAGAGAGAGAGAGAGAGAGAGAGAGAGAGAGAGAGAGAGAGAGAGAGAGAGAGAGAGAGGTACAGCTTCTAGTCAGTGTGAGAACAAGTTTTAATTTTCTCTCTCGACATTGCACTTCCTCAGTAAATTGTTCATACGCAGAGTTTTCTCTTGCGTTTTTTTGACGTG